TTTTTTTTTTTTTTTTAAAAAAAAAATTATATGATCCTTTTTGTTTTTACATTTGGTATTTTAACTGAGGCAATTTGGTTTTGGGGAATATATGTTGACAGTAGACATAATTTTTCTCATAAAGTTGCATACTTTCATTAGAAAATGTTTGTACTATACAAAAAACATAAACATAAGTATGAATTTTTGTTCGCATAGTAAGACGGATTGACCCGTGTCGACGATTAGTCTACGTTGTCTCACACAAGAATTTGTGGTTGTTGGTATGTTGGAATCAAGACCGACTTAGCTGTAAACATCATTGAATTCGAAGTATGGGCTGTACTGAAAGGTTGAATAGAAGCACTCAGCTGGTTGTTATTGGTATCTATTGTGGTGCTTTTGGAGGAATGGTTTGTACTCTTTTGTGGGATTGCATTTTTTTGGTTTATCTTATAATGTGGCATTGATAGAATTTAGCATCTTTTCTTTAGTTTGTCTCTTTCAGTTCAAAGTGAGTGTACTCTTGAGTAATGGCTTGATTGTTTTTCATTTAGCTAATATATTCATGTCATAATCAGTATAGCTTGTCGAGGCATTGATTGTATACTATCGTGTTCGTGGGGCTTTCTTTTCATGTTTTATTCGGTTTGATTTCGTCAGTTCTAGCCAATTCTTCCACATTACCAAAATAAGAGAATTTGAATGTACTAGATGCAGCAGCTGAAGCAGGTTCTTGTCTATATGACCTCTTAAGAAAGGAAACCTTGTCAAACTGGAGTCAATGCTCAGGAGAATGGAAAGATTATAATTCCAGTAAGTTCCTTTTTTTTTTTACATTTCAAGATTCATTTCATTATTATGTCTGCTTCACCAACTAGATGCATAAATATTGTGCCGAAGTTCACTTTTGCAATTTTCGCATTCTTCTTAAGATAATCTATCAGGAATCTGTTGAACGTTCGCAAATGCAACTCCTAATTTTTCTCTCGTTTTCTCTGAATAAGGTCCAAGAGAGAGGCTAGCAAGTCTTTTGACCGAAGATGGGAACAAAGTTTGTGCAGATTGTGGTTCACGAGATCCCAAATGGGTGTAAGTCGAAGGAGTGCAAATTTTTTTCTCTTACATTGATTTTTAGTTCGATATTTATAGGTAGGACTTTTCTTAGTCTTTATTTATCTTTCTGAGTTTTGCTCTAATTGTTGTAATTCGTGTGTTGTAATTCGTGTATTGATTGGCCGCGAACAGATCTGTGAGCATTGGAGCTTTCATTTGTATCAAATGCTCGGGAGTACACAGAAGCCTTGGAGTGCATATATCAAAGGTTTGGAGCTCATTAACTTATGAATTTGAGCCGTCAAGTGTTATCAAGTCGTGTTAAGTTGAGTTTTGTGCTCACGTTTTTCAATTTTAGCCACTTTGGCTTTGTTTTCTTATATAGCTACTGATGTGAATGTCTTTTAGTCAGCATTCTTTATTTACATGGCATGCACACGTCACGAGCAACTTCAATAAAATAGTCAACAGTTCTATCGAAGATAATCTTTAGTAACCTCCTCAAATTCTGTAGTCTGAGTGGTTTTGGGACTATCCGTGTGAAACCATGGAAGTTGATAATAATGTGTCAAATTTTATTAATATATTATTATTATTATTATTATTATTATTATTATTATTATTATTATTATTATTATTATTATTATTATTATTTCCAAGTATCTGATAATACTTCTTATGTGTATTTGACAGTTTGCCATATCATTTGTGATATGCATTGCAGGTTTTATCTGCGAAACTCGATGAGTGGTCTCACGAGCAAGTCGATGCCTTAATCGAGATGGGTGGAAATACTGCTGTGAACTTGAAATACGAAGCTCACATTCCCGATAATTTAAATAAACCGAATCCTGATTCACCTGCTGAGGAACGCACTGATTTTATAAGGTTCCAGATTCAAACATGTTTACTTTCCAAAATCGAAATTTTGCATTTTGTGAATAAATATATTCCCATTTTTTTTTTCCCCAGGAGAAAATACGAGTTGCATCAGTTTTTGAACTGTGATTTGACTTTGTCGTGCCCATTTCCACCCACATCATCGTCCTCCAGCTGCAGTTCTTCGGGCTGTAGTTCTCAATCGGGTCCTGAGAAGAAAAACTATGAAAAACAAACGACGGGCCATCGTATACAAGGTATTGGTAATGCGTTTCGTAATAGCTGGAGGAGAACAGAACACAGGACAACTAAGAAAAGTAACTCAATGGTAATAGTTGCTGCTCTGGAGAAAACTTCATTTTTGTAAATACCGAAAAAGACTAACAAAGAAAGAAAGGAATAATTTTTTATTTTTTTTAAAAAAAAGTAGGAGCTCAACTGAGCAACAAAAGCTAAATTTGGACCGTGATGCGATGTAAGAAACAAGCCAAAATCCAAGCCCGAACTTTGAAAAATCGCGCATGGATTAACATGAAAGGAAAAGAAACGATACTCTGCTGAAGTTTTCGAAAGAAAATTGCTCTTTGTGACGACCATTTTACAAATCCTGTTTTAAAAAATGAAGTTACATTTGCCTTTATTAATGTAGTCTTTCACTACTTTTCCTTTTTGTTTTACTGCCTATTATTTTACATGAATGCATTATTTTACCATATTGACTTATGTTTTATAGGCAGGTATGGTCGAATTTGTAGGATTGATTAAGGTTAATATAGTAAGAGGCACCAACTTAGCTGTACGAGATATGGTGACGAGTGATCCATACGTAATCCTCTCCTTGGGAAATCAGGTAAATCTTCCTTCTCTTTGTTCATTTTATGAGGTCAAAGATTTATAGTGATTTATGCAGATTCTTTTACAACGAGTTTTGAAAATCTGCTGCAGTCGATGAAGACACGGGTTATAAAGAATAATCTCAACCCAGTTTGGAACGAAAGTCTTATGCTTTCAATTCCAGAAAATATACCCCCATTGAAGTTGGTGAGTCTCCTTATTCGAGTGTAATGCTTCTCATTTTCTTTTGACCTATTCGAAGTAAGATATTTGTATTTCATTGAACTTACAACCGAAAGAGTTCCATGTAGTGCTGGTAAATTAAATGAGCCTGGCTCGGCTCGGCTCGAGCTCGACTCGTTAAGGCCTCGAGCTCGGGCTCGAGTTCAAGGCCTTAACGAGCCGAGCTCGAGCTCATTTAAAGCTCGGTTAAGGAGCCGAGCTCGGCTCGGCTCGACTCGATAAGGCTCGAAATAGAATTTTTATATAATTTTTTATAGTTCGGCTCGTTAAAGCTCGAGATCGGCTCGAGCTTGTTTTAACGAGCCGAGCTCGAGCTCGAATTTTAGCTCGTTTATTTAACGCGCCGAACTCGGCTCGGCTCGGCTCGTTAAGAGCTCGAGCTCAAGCACCTTAAGCTCGAGCTCAGATCGGCTAACTCTAGTTCCGTGTTAGAGGAAGCTAAAATGCAAAATAAATAAGATTGAATATGGATTTGATTGGTTTTTTTGTTAACCATAGTTAATTTTTGAAAAAGGTGGTCGGGTTAGTTGTTAGTGAGAATTAAAGTTTGAATCAAAATAATATATAAAATAAAATAATTAAAGTTGATTTGATGTAAATTAGGAGAAAAATAATTGGAAGTGATAGATAAAATTACGTGCGTGGATGAGTAATGAATTAAAGTTAATGTGACGTTTAAGAATAATTTGTTGATATTATTTATTTATATTGATAATATTGAGGATAGTGAGGTGAGTTAAATTGGAGTTTTGATTAGTTTTTTACTGGTCAAGTTTATATCCAATCACACTATAGTTCTTAGCTTTAGTTTTTTAGCTTTCATTTTTTTTTTTTTTAATTTTAGATGTGCCGATATTTTATAACCTATAACCCTCCATATCGTTTCATGTAAAATATCTTGTTTTGGTCAGCTCGTTTATGATAAGGACACTTTCTCGACGGATGATTTCATGGGGAATGCCGAGATCGACATTCAACCATTACTCTCGGCCGCGAAGGCTTCAGAATCCTCCTCGATTATCGAGTCGACATTGATCGGTAAATGGAAAGCAAGCCAGGAGAACACGCTCGTCAAGGATGGGGTCATCATGTTCGAGGACGGCCGTGTGAAGCAAGAAATCTCCATCAAGTTACAAAATGTCGAGCGTGGAGTGCTCGAGATCGAGCTCGAGTGTGTGCCTCTTACACAGTAGATAAAAAAGAAAAGAAAAGGGCAGATTGGATCCTTTAGTAAAAACACAAACTAACAATAAAGAGTCCTCTATTACATTCATGCTTGAGAATTGAGATTATTATTTCACTAGGAAGCAAGTGAAAATGAAGAGTTTTGTGAATTAATTTGCTAATGGG